TCTATTTCCAGAAAAAAAAAAAAAGGAGAAAGGAAGAGACTATATAGTAGTTGTTCTGTCACCAAAATTACATAATGGTAATAAAAAGTTAAACACCCAATAGAAAAATTTTTAAGTAGCTTTATCCTTTTGAGGGAGGTGTATTTTTCTATTGGTTAAAATCCTATTTTGGTCCCTGAACTATTGTACAGACTTTGATTTCGTCCCTAAACTTAAAAAATCTTTGATTTGGTCTCTATTGTTTACCATTTTTACCCCGATTTGATCCTTTCGTTAATTTTTTACATTAATTAACGGCTAAATACAGAAGAAACATTACATGTCACACAAAAAATTGTCAAGTTGACAAAAATAAATGATACAGCCATTCCAACTCATCCCACCCAAAAAAAATTTTTTTTTCCTTCCTCTCTTTCATCTACCCTTTCTTCAACTTCTACAAACCCTCTGCAAACCCTAAGATCTCAACCAATTTGTAACATCTCAACCAATCTATTCATTTCAATCAATTTTTACTTTTACTGTGTTCATCATCATCATTATCAAACAATAAAACTCACCAAAAAAATAAAATTTTATTTAAAATTTTTTTGCTCGTGGATTCTTTTGAACCTATGCATGCTGGGTTCTTGAACCCAACAGCACCCTTTCTTTCTCCTTCCACTTCCTTACCTTACCTTCTTCATCAATCAATTCTTCATCTTCATCAATCAATTCATCATCATCGTCAATCAATTCTTCATCATCATCAATCAAAAAAAAAAAAAAAACAGAACTCAAACTCAAAAATCCTGGGTTCGAAGGAACTCGGGCCTAGGTTCCATCGAACCCAGGCACATTGGGTTCCACCGAACCCAGCGCATGGGTTCTAAGGAACTTGCGCTTAAGTTCGAAGGAGAAAGAGAAGGAAAGAGAGAAAAAAAAAAGAATTTACTTTTTAATTTTTTATTTAATTTTTTTATATTATTATTTTTCCATGTCATCACTCTTTTGTCATATTATCTTCCACATGTATTAATATTTGACATATCATCTTATAACAGTGAACTAACATGCCTTATCATCAGAATTTGAATGGAAGGACCAAATTGAGGTAAAAATGATAAACAGTAAAGATCAAATCATGAATTTTTTAAATTTAAAGACCAAATTAAAAATCCATACAATAATTCAAGGATCAAAATGAAAATTTAACCTTTTCTATTTGAACATTGGGAAATTTTGAAAAAGGAGAAATTTTATTTGTGAGTGATTCA